AATTTATCACCAAATTTGTATTTTCACGTAATGTAAAAATGTTAAGTTTCGGGTTTTGCCAAAAGTCGTAAGCAAGTATCGGTACGTATAGCGAATTTTTTAGAATTAGTAAAGATTGTCCCTTGTTGTTATTGTGTTAATTCCTATTATATTAGCATGTTTTTAATCTTCATAAAATGCGTTCACTCGATTTTTTATTGTCTTTTCCCGATCTAGTACGTGAACACGGCAAAGAATAAAAGTGCAAATAGCGGAACAAACAAAAGAAAGTCCTGTAAAAACTGATACAATATATATCAATTTTTCTGTGCCAGAAGTATGTTCTGGCGGATTAGCTGGGGAACTAGTGCTAGTTAGGGTTGGAAGATTGGAAACACCGGTGCTAATTGGGGGAGTCGCATCAGGAGCCGTAGCCGCTGGGGGAGCCGAAGCCGCTGGGGGATTATCAGCTGGGGGATTATTAGCTGGGGGGTTATTAGCTGGGGGATTATCAGCTGGGGGATTATTAGCTGGGGGATTATCAGCTGGGGGATTATTAGCTGGGGGGTTATTAGCTGGGGGTTTATAATCTGGAGGGGTGGCTACATTGTAAGTAGAAACGCAGAGGGTAGAAGAAAATTTCGTAGAATAAAATATAGTGGTTTTTGCTATCAAATAAGTAGAGATTGCCAGGGTAATATTCTCAGAAGTGGGGAGTTGGGTTTTGCTAGGGTTAGTATTAGTAAATTTATGTGTTTGGAAAGTAGAAACAGTTGAATGAAGAGCAGTGGTTTTCGCTGTAGAAACAGTGGAATGAAGAGCAGTGGTTTTCGCTGTAGAAGGAAATGAACCGACAAAACTGAAATAAGTAATTAGAAACAGTCCCGCCGTAAAGAAAATTAAAGATGCAATTAAACAGCTATATAAAGCTTCTTTATTAATATTCATCATGTATATATATATATGAATATGTATATTTATTCATTTATTCTCTTTTTTCTTTCAGATTTAGATTTTGAGTTTTTGAACGTATTTTCCGTTTTAATAGCCAGAAGAACAAGTATAGATAATTTGGTTTTGGTGTGTGATCTAAGTGCCAATTGTAACCCACTAGTCATAGAAAACTACTTTTTTTGGTCATTGTTACCTTACCTGTTACTACGTACGTACGTACGTACGTAGAGCTGTATTACCATCTTTGGTACAAGTGACTCTTAACATAAGAAAGTTACCGAAGTTCAGTCAAATATTTCTTATATCGAGTTTTCTATATCGAAGGCTATAAAATTTTCAATTGGGTCTTATATAATCTTATATCAAAGAATTTCTTATATCGAAGGTTTCTTATATCGAAAGTTCTGTATATATTACTTATGCATCATCTATTTAACCCAAACCAAGGTATATATAAATTGTAAATTACCGTAATTTCCGGTAAGTTACCTAAACATTTGGTAAGTTACCGACCAAACTCATTTATGCGATATTAAATAATAAAATGTACAGTATAAGTTTTTAGAGTCTGAAACTTACGCAGAACCTTTATAGTTGTAAATCGTAAAATATTGGCCTTCTTAATCAGAGAATCTTGG